TCTTTGACAGTCACTTAAACAGGCAGATGAGACACCAGTTTAATATCTAATCTGAAGGATTACACCTTCAACAGTACGGCCTCTCATTGGAGTGTCAACCTGAACTATAAAATCAAAATCCAACCTGACTCCTGATTCAGGCTGACACTTCATTTGCACAATGATGGTGGAAAGTGACAATGTAAATACAGAACAATTTTTCATTTTGGTATAAGAATCCATAATAAGGGGATGTTTAAACAAAAGGCAAGTGTCCAAGAAGTAACTATTTTTGTAGGCAACTAAAACAGCTAATAGTTCAAAATTCTACAGCCTGCAACGACCAATTTATCTGGTGGACCTTTGGCTGGGATACAAGGAGAAACACCATTCTCTTGAATAGTGACATGGAATCTGTAGCTGTAGCTGAGTGGTTAGAGCACTCGCTTTGCAAGCGAGAGACCTGAGTTCAATTCCAGGCAGAGGGCGAAACCTTGGGCAAGTTTCCTTACTCCACACAGAGCCTAATAATAATCCTTCCAAAACAAAACAATAATAAATTGGTCATTTTTAATCTACGACTGTTTGTGGGACATTGCTGTGCGCAATTGGCTGCCACGTTCGCCCACAAATATACAGTCAATTCACTTTACAGTGTGTTCTGTGAAGCGCTTTGGGACGTCCTCCCGACGTGAAAAGCGCTATATCAAATGAAAGGATTATTATTATTATCTTTAATATTCATCTGAGCATTCCTTACAATAGTAGAAGAGGAGGAAGGAGGAAAGCTGAAGAGCTGATTACCTAATGTCTAGCTAATTTTAGGTTGCTCCAGAAGCTGGGAGGGAGGAGATCAAAGGAGGAAAAACTATAGGTGCAAATCAATTACTCTTTACAAACAAGAATCCCAATGGCGTGAATCATATTACCTCTGCTAAATCAAATGCTAAATCAACTGGTTTCTAAAACCACACCCATGCATTTTCTACCATAGTATTAGCTCACAAGTAATTAAAATAGTCTTACCTTCACTGGTTTTCAATTTGTTGACTTGCTTGTTTCTGTTGCAATGCTTAAAATCTCTGCCTTTTGATGTCAATGTTTATTTACCAAAGCATTTTTCAGATGCTATTTGTGGAGAATTTAACACAATAAGTTGATGTGGTGTTTGTATCCAGTTCTTCTGTGCTGGTTTCACCTTATCCATTAAGAGATGTAACCACCGTCACTGTTGTATTTACATGTGAATACAGTACAGACTACAGAACCTGATAGCTGAATGGCTGCACATAGTAGTAAAATACAATTCTCTATGTGGAAAGGAACAGGAATCAACCTTTTAAAGCCAAACGCACAACTGACATGAATCAACTGATCTATATAATCCTGATGAAATTGGAATGGATCATCATCTAACCTGCAGTAAATCTGCCTGTAGAATAATGTAGAACTACTGATTGACCCTGTTATAAGGTGATATATTAACTCTGTAAGGTAATGCATCCATAGAAGAACTAAAGGCTATCAGTCCCCCTCCCGTGACGTTAAGTCACCGCTGACATCACGTCCAGTGCAGATTGAACCCAGATTTTCCTAAAAGAGCAACATCTTCGAGTCAACAATGTTTCAACAAGAAAACATTATGTTTGGATTGCATTTAATGGTCGTTCATAACTAGACTGACTAGCAGCTACTTTTGCTGTCTTGTGATTTCACTCTACGAGAAAATGCAGTACAATGCTTAGGAGTATACGTCAGAGGCAAAACGGAAATGCTTGGAGTTATTTTCAATCCAAACCCCAACAGCAAAAGATTGCCATGTACTGGTAATCAGTAGCCTGTGTCATATCCTCATTCACAGCTCAAACACATGTGTATCCTCATAGACATCACAGGGTTTACTGTACTGAATGAAGGAGAGAATAAGTAGAGAATAATGGCGCTGTTCCCATTAGATCTTTTTCACACAAGGTCCACAATTGTAGGCACGGATGGTAGATGATGATGCACTGAAGAAATTAAATTTCAGTTGAAAATTTGAATATATTAACCTCAACAACAACTTGCATTTATATAGTGCCCTTCACATGGGGTAGCGTCCCGGAGGCTTAACCTCCTGTGGGAAATGTTGAATTTTCCACAATTTCCAGTAAAACAGGTTTACGGAAATTTACTTTGATGGAAATATACTTTTGGCCAGTATAGCCAGTTTTGGAGCATTTTGAGTACGAAGTACATTATTTTAACATTACATTCCAATTCTCCAGTGTTTCACCAACTAAGAGGCACATTCAGCTGGGAGCCACAGTCTCCATTCATTGTACCATAAAACTGAGCAGAGGATTTCAGAACTCAGCGTTCAATGGTGCTTGCTACTTGATCAGTAATTGTTTCCTTATTATTGGGACATTCACAGACATAAAATGTCTCAGGTTAAAATTAAAATGGATTTTTAATAAAACCACTAAGTAGAAACCATTCAGGCAAATTTGCATTCTGCAACAGCGATTTGTACACCAAGATCTCAATCTAAAATCATTCATTATGCTGCTGGAGGTCCATAATCTTTGGAGCCTGAAGGGTTCATACTTCCCTTCATTTCATTTGTTCGCACAAGAAGTCTTTAGGATTGTGAGGTAGGAACTTCTAAATTGGATGATGTGAATTTTGGTAGGCAAAGGCCAAATCGTTTTTCAATTCCAGTAAATGTATCAACTATCCTGTTATAGCCACCAATGTGGTCTGGATTAGAGACAGGTAACCTTGGTCGTGCTGTTGGAACTGCTCTGGAAGGTTTGCTGTTATTTGGGGGTTGGAGAAAAGGAAAGAGAAAGAATATTAGGTCTTAAGAACAGGTCATTTCAAGAAAATACACAGAATACAATCATTCCACTTTACAGTATATCCTGTGAAGCGCTTTGAGATGTTTCAGTGAAGTGATAACGTCAAATGCAAGGATTATTATTAAAGTGGTTTATTACTTATTCTCTCCTTGCCAGACTCCCCAACTTCTCTCTACAAAAATGGTAAACTATCCTGTGTCCTCTCCAGCACCAGGTTCTGCAAGCTTATAATCCACTCACAAGGTATACAGGCACTCCATTTTCCAGCATATCCTATGAAGAGCTTTGAGATGTCCTCCTGACATGAAAGGTGTAATATTAAATGTGAGGATTATTTAATATCACCCCACCCCTCTTTGCTTAGCTCCACTGGTTCTCCATTCCCCATTGGATTAAATTCAAGATCTTCATCCTCACATTCAAATCCTTCCATCGTTTTGCTCAACCCTACCTCTAAGACCTGTAATCTTACTGACCTGTCCACTTGCTCTGTTCAGCAAACTCAGCATTCAGTCTGCTTCAATCCATTCCAGCACTGGTGGGCCAGCTCTCAGCCATTCTTCCCCCATCCTCTGGAATTCCATCCCGGAGCCCCTCCATCTCATCCCCTCCTTCCTCATTTTTGAAGCCTGCTTTAACATTTACCTCTTTAATTGTATTTTCGGTCGTCTTCTGACCCCACCCATTTCAGCTCTCTCCCCCGCCCCTCCCCCCCCAGTCAAAGTGTCAAGTGCTTTGAGACATCCTCCCACTACATAAATGATATTATGTAATCTTTACATTTAACATTACGCAGGATTTAAGCACTCTGAGACGCTACCCAGTGTGAAGTGTGCTATATAAGTGCAAGTTGTTGTTGAAAGAGTTTGGTGAGGTTTGCATAAATAGGCTTGTTTCCACTTGTTGGGGAGCTGTAATCAAGGGACACAAGTATAAGGTAGCAACAAGAGGATCTAAAAGAAAATTTAGCAGGTTCATGGAGGGTAGCGAGATTGCGGAACTCACGGCCTGAAGCAGTGTTTGAAGCAGATAGCAAGGGTGCTTTAAGAGGAAGCTAGACCTTCATGTGACAGAGATGGGAATAGAAGGGTATGGGAGAGAACTAGGACTGGGTTGAGATTTAGGTGGATTACAAACATTGGCATGAACTGAATGGGCCAAATGGCCTGTTTCTGTGTTAGTCTATGTATAAACTACGTAGGTGCCCAGACTGCAATCTAGCGAATGTGGCTCAGACTTTTAATGTAGAGTCTATTCCCGTATCCAGGGGTTTTACTGATTTCACTGCATTACCCATTTTGTGTAAGGTCAAGTGCTGCACAACAGAGAGAGAGACTGACTATGAGATTGCTTGGTGCTGCTGGCACTAAGTGCCACAGCTGAAGTGGATATAGTTTGAATGGTGAATGGAGGTTATCAATCACACCACCAATCACTGTTGCAGACTGACCAAGCATATATCTTGTTAGCAATCATCTTAATACACTGAAAGCAATCTAACATTGAGAATGTGGTACCTACCTGCCCTGCCGAAGGATAACTAAACTAAATTATTCATGTAAAAATCAGCTACCCGCTTACAGACAATGGTCTAAATTGCAAGATTCACAAAAGGATTGGTAACCAGAAAATTTTAATGTGGCGTGGCTGACTATCTGAAACTCTCTCAGATACTGACTTTACAGAAGTCAGAACAGAGATCAGCGTCTGAGCCAAGTTCTGGAGGATTGGCTGAGGTGAATCTGGGATTCACTTGTTATGAATCATTCTGACACTTTCGCAATTTAGAATTTACTGAACAATGAATATCCTCAAAATAAACTTGTGTGGAGTTTTACGGAAACCATATTATTTAAATAATATACATCGAAAAATGAAATACTTACACACCACCAAAATCCACATAAAACCAACTTTGCAAAAGTTCATAGGTAAGCAAAGTAACTCCAAACTGGGGTGAGGAACGGAACACACGGGCTTTGAAAAAATAAGATTACTGGTGTTATTTTTTTATTTGCTCAGTTGAGTGTTTGACACATAAAGAAATCCATTACCACACATAAGAACATCCAAACAGACAGAGTTCCACATAATGTCACCTACATCTGCAGGTTTCTGTGTCTGGAATGATGCAGGGACTTACCTAATTCTGAAAAGTATTGAGCTTCAGGACACGAGAGTGTGTGTTGAGGGACCAGTACATCATCTGGAAGCAGACGCACTGCAATTGTATCAGAAATATCCTGACCCAGATATACCGAGTTCATCTCTTTTGATATTATTCATTACATTGATGAATAGATCAAATTAGGTGGTTTTTGGGCATCATCCAGTTGTTGATCAGCCTTGGGCGAGTTGATGGTTTCTGGTTTTGATCTGCTAGACCCTCGCCATTATCTGTCCTTTATACCAGAGGCTTTTACAAACTTGGCATTTATGCTGTCTGCACCTGCTGCCTTACTTGACCAAGGCGATGCTGTGCAGAGTTCACTTCCTTCCAGCAGACTGGATCTTTGATCTACTCAACTGCTCTTACCAGCTTTTCTCCTTTCTACACAGACAGATCTATACGATGACTGGTTGGGTCAAACACCAACTCACCAGTGCTCCCTCGAGACCCCAGTGATACCCTCATGGGTCTTTTGTAGGGCAATAGACAGATTCAACATTGGTACCAGGCCAGAGGGGCCCCTCTGACCATTACCGATGACAGATTTCAGCAAACAGAAGAAAACATTGGGATTGTCCTTGTCTAGTTGCGATCCATTACTTACAAAATGTTAAATCACATTAAATATCTTCAATTAAACAGAAATAAAATCATCCTCCTTGTGCACCTGCTGTTCCTTTCCAAAACGCAGTTGGACCCTCTTGTGAAAGGATCTTGCGAAAGCAGTCAAACACCCCGTTGTACTTGGTCTGCCCTTCCCGCTCAGTCACCTGTAACCTGGTCTTGATAACATCGGCAGGTGTCACCAGAGAGGCTGCTGGCATCCCTGAGATGGAAAACAAAGAGGGCTTAAAGAGAAACGTTATATACACAGCAATAATAATCCTTGCAATTGATGTAGTGCTTTTCACATTGGGAGGAGATCTCAAAGTGCTTCACAGGATTTACCATAAAATATAATGACCATGCATTTTTAAGCAAATGTTACAGTCAATTTGCACACAGCGATGTCCCACAAACAAACAGCCATAAAGTGAAGTGCTTTTGACATAGCACGTTTCACCTCGGCAGAATGTTTCAAAGAACTACTCAGGATTTACTCTAAAGTGTACCGTGTATTTGTAGATAAAACGGGGCAGTCAGTTTGCAGTAAATAATAATAATAATCCTTGAATAATAATAATAATAATCCTTGCATTTGATATAGCGCTTTTCACGTCAGGAGGACGTCCCAAAGCGCTTCACAGAACACACTGTAAAGTGAATTGACTGTATATTTGTGGGTGAAATACAGCAGCCAATTGCACACAGCAGTGTCCCACAGACAGTCGTAGATTGAAGTGACTAATTGTATTATTGTTTTTTTTTCTCGAGGGATTATTATCAGACATATGGAGTAAAAAAACTTGTCCAAGGTTTCAGCCCTGCTGGGAATCGAACCCAGGTCTCTCGCTTCTGAGGCGAGTGTTCTAACCGAGCTACAGGACTCTGAATGACAAATTTTATTAAGGGAATTGTTGGCTCGGATTCTGAGAGAAACTCCTTTCTTTTCGAATAGTGCTATTGGGCTTGCAATACCTGAAGTGAGGGGTATGGATAAGGTCAATAGGAACGTTTAGTCCTGTTTTCTTGCTATGTAATGCTATGATGTCAGAGGTGCCCTTATGGCCTGGAAGGTAGCCATTTTAACTTCCTGTTCTTAAAAAAAGCAGATTTCCAGCTGATCAGGTTACCAACGTCATGTCCTGTTTTGCGCATTCACAGCAAACCACAAATTATGGCACGGTGACCCGATGATCTGAAAGGCCATAATTTTCTTTTAGTTTGGGAATGGGAGCAGACCATTTAGTGCACACATTTTTGCATAGTTTTTGATATGTATTAACTCTGATGGTATGTGGAGTAGAAGGAACAAAGAAAAAATATTTGGAGTAACCAAATATTATTCACGAGCTGTACAGTTCTCTGGTTAGGCTGTAGCAAGAGTACATTGTACAGTTCCATTCACTGTGACATAGGAAATAACAAAGCTTTAGTCTAGAGGCCGTATAGAGGCTGATCTCCAGTGTTGGTAAGATGAGTTAAGAAGAAAGAAACTGTGGGAATAAAGGAATCAATGCTAATCAAGCAGATAAACTAGGGCTTTTCAGCCCTGAAAAGAGACATCTCAGAGAGGGCCATAAAGAGGTGTGTAAAATGTTTTAACATAATACAGTAATCCCAGAACAATACTTCCAGATATGTCGAGGCCGTCCAGAATCAAGTTTGTAAAAGGCACCTGTAGGTCAGTCATCAGGAAGTATTTCTTTACACAGATGGGTATCAACATCTGGAATCAGTTTCCAAGAAGGGTAATTGAGGGCAGGACTCTGGACTCACTTAAGAAATAACTTGATTCTGGAGCTGGAAGATGAGAGGGTGGATATTCTGAAATAATAAGACTGAATGTGCTGAAGGGCATTCTTCATCTGAATTTCTATTGTAAGTTTTTAAATTGCTCCATATTTGCAATCAAACTATCCAGTGCATTGAAAAGATGCACAAAAGTTTGTATAACCAAGTCAGAGTTTTAGAGGAATTGGTTCAATTTAAAATTGGAATTGATTCAGTTTCACAATCACGATACCAAACATCAAAATTCAGCCAAAGCACCAAAAATCTGATGTACACACAGTGCAAAATAAAACTAAATATTAAGAAAGATTTGAATCTTCTCCATATAAATTCAAGAAAGGAATGTTGAAAATATCAAGGACACAACGAAAGAGCTTGCATTTTAACAGCTCATATCAGACTGAAAATCTCACTCACAGTGCTTTACAGAAATTCCTGTCATGTGTAGTAATTGTTTTCGTAAGGAAACTCCTATGTTGATACAAAACTATGGATTTTTAAAAAAAATGCTGCAGATTCAGCAATCATAATAATAATCCTTGCATTTGATATAGCACCTTATTACGTCTCTGAGACATCTCAAAGCACTTCACAGAATATACTGTGAAGTGAATTGACTGTATATTTGTGGGCGAAATGCAGCAGCCAATTGTGCACAGCAGTGTCCCACAAACAGTCGTGGATTGAAGTGACCAATTTATTTTTAAAAAAATTTTAAGGAATTATTTACCCCCGGAAAAGTAATACCCCAATCGACTAGCAACCGGATTCCTACTTACTTCCCATGAATTGAACATTTAAAAGAAAAAATACTCTGTGCAAGGTCAGCATTTGCAGGATATGTGCATGACTGTGGGTTCTGGTTGCCCATGTGAGTCCATTCACATTCTGTGCAACTAAACCTCATACAAGCCCAAGAGCTGAGCTGCTGCATTGCTCTTTATCACTTACAGGGATACACAGATATCTCTTTTGTGTGATATTTTGCTTATTTTACTAGATTCTTCCTTTAAAAAAGGCAATTTTGTACTTTTCATCCCATTGTAATATTTTAGATCTATGGTGTGTGTTACAATTGACCTTCAGACCAACAGACCTCACGGAATAATTGACGTTTACTCTGGCGGGTGATCAAGCACAGATTCAAGCACAAAGTACTGTGGCACTTTACCAAAATTACAATAATTTCCATGTCTGTTTTGGTCCAAACCAAAGCAGTCTAACTAGAGACACAAACTTAGATCAGTCTGCTTTTTATTACATTTATTGATATTTAACAGCTTTTCTTGAAACCAAGATGGCTTGGCTCAAGAAGAAAACAAACTAGGAACAGACTCTCTCTTTTTATACATAAAAATATCTATTTATTACAGAAATAGTCATGGCACCAGCGTATGCCACAACATTTAATGAAGTGACCACAGTGCAGGCAAGAGGCTAAAAGTACAAAAGGACATGTGGGTGCTTACCAGCCACAGCTCCTGCCAAGAGCATATTCCAAGGGCTCACCAGGCCATCTTTATCTGCCAGAGCTATTTTTATGTGAGCGTAGCTGGGGAAGTAGATGGCAGAGAATGGGATATCACGCATAAAACAGGCCTTCGCGCCCTGTGCAGGAAACAAACCGCAAAACAAACAAAAGTTAACATGTGTCAGGAAGTCCTTTTGAGTCAACTGTCAACGACGCCTATAGAAAAATGTAAATGCAAACTTATTACACTAGCAGTAGCGATAGCGCAGTGTATCCTCTAAATATCCTTATTGAATTAAGTTAGGCAAGGCTGCTAGGTTCAAGTGGAGTCCTGTAGCTTATTGATAAAAGCACTCCCCTTGCAAGCGAGAGGACTTCCATAAAGGGCAACTTTCTTTTTCTTTGCTTTCATGTGTCCAAGCTGCAGTGCACTAATCTGCTGTGTTCTCTGTACCTTTGATTCTTTGCTCTCATGCCTTTGAAATCCAACAACCTGTTCATTTCCTCTCAGATTTACTAGTTCCCTAAAGTTGCCTCTTGGACTCACTGTGTTTGTAGAAAACAATCAGCAACAAAAGCATGATTTCTGACATTGGTGAAGATGGGGAGAGGTTGAGATGAACCGTTTAGCTCCTCTACTCAGAGGCTCAAAGTCAAGTACTCTCTGAGATGGGGAACAAATTTGCTTTTGTGCATCATGGGAAATATTTTCTGTTTGAGATTAGTTATGATTATTGGACACAAAAGCTTAACATATCAAATTCCATTCAAATAAGACTTATATTTCAGCTCTGTTTCGGATCAGTCACATTTTATTTATTTAGAACCACATTATTTTCTTTTGTAATATTCTGGTTTAGCAGTAACAGTCTAAACCCCCAACAAAATAGAAAATTATGATGTATTGCAGTTCTGAAATCTTTTGTTTCACTGAATATTTCCTTATACGACTACTGTATTACATTATATTTATTAAAAAAAGCCAGCTTGTCTTGAGGGCAGGGGTTAGGAGCCAGTGCTTTTATAGTCATTTTAAACAATACATAGATTCGCCTGAATTGCTTTACACATAGAGTGGAGAATCCATGGAATTGACTACCCAGGTAAGAAGAATTTGAAGGCAAATTCTGGCAGAAAATTCAAGGGTCAATTGAATTGGATGAAGGAATTGACTGAAAGTTATGAGAGGTATATTGGAGAGTTTTTTTTAAAAAAAACTTTACATTTTCTTTTAAACTAGCCAAATGGTCAATGCTCTTTCCCAGGCCTGTATAATACTAAGTTCCTATAAACTTTTACATTAGCCATTGCAATGATTGTGAATAAAAATGGAAACACAGTCCACATATTTGGAGTAACTTAAAATGTCCTCCCAACATGAAAGGCGCTATATAAATGCAATTTGTTGTTTTTGTTGTAAAACGCATCCCTCCCATTCAAAAATTAAAGTTATTTTCTCCTTCCTTGTCTGTCTCCACTGAAGTCTAACAGAGCATGTTTGGGAAGGCTTAAATCAGATGTTAATTTCTATTAACAGCTGTTGAACAATTAGCAACTGGAATGCAGGTGCATTTCTCTGAAGGAGCTCATGCAACACAGAACTTTACATTTATATCTAGCTCTTTATGCAAAGTCTTCCCACGTGAGCAGCCTGTTGAAAATCCTTTCAATCAATCTGCAGTGAACAGCAAAGACCATCTGCCTGAGAAAAATTCTTACATGAGTAGCTGCCCGAGGCAGGCCTGGAAGGCACAAAGTTATTGGATCTCACACACCTTGACCCATGCTCTGGCGAAATCTACTGCAAATTGGCTCCCTCCTCCAATCACCTTAATAACCCTAAATCCCTTAATCTCAGATTGTATCTCATTGAGTGAATAGATTAAGCAGCGAGAAAAAGACTCTCAGGTTGTAGGATGAGTTGGATAAACAAATCAGGCCTTCAGGTAGAAGTTTTTTTTCAGATGTTAATTCTTACTTATACCAGTAACAGTAGCAAATTAGGGACTAAACAACTATTTTCCTAGAAGGGGAGGTAATTACGTTCACAAAGACATCTCTGTGTTAGGCTGGGCATGAGGAGCCAGCAGGTCTGGGAGATGCCGATTTAACCTTATGTGCAGCAGTGAGTACATATTAGCTACTGCACAGAGAAAAGACCAGATCCACAGGTTGGAAGATTAAAGAATAAGTACATCCGTCATATCATTCTCATATATTACTACATCTACATGCACACAATTCTAAATCGTATTTGGCATCTGAATTTTTTGACTATATCTGCTCCATCCGAGATCCGCTGCACGTCAATATCATTACTTCTGCCTTTGCGTTTCTTCAGAGGAAACACTCCATTACGGGCAATACGCCAAACATATCGTATGCCACATATGAATACCTTTCTGGCAAAGAAATCTGTCTAGTCTCGAGCTAAACAAGAAAAACTAGAACTGTTCAGTCAGCTTCAGTCTCAATTGGTTTCACAAATCTTACTTTAATCCAAATAATTATAATAATAACAATCTAAAAGATGTACAGTTCCAGGGTATTTTAGGATCTTTTGTTTCAACTTTATTCAATATTAATTTAGTGAACAAAGCCTTGAATATGGAAGCTTTTGACAGGCATTATTTACTGGGACAATGGTCACCAGCAACAATAACCACAAATAAATAATGATCTCAGTTTTGTTAAAGTCCTTTGAAAATACTACTCAGACTTGTGTCTTACACACTCAAAGCCTGAAGATACAGCTGTATTTTTGAAAAAGCTTTAGTAATTTCTTTGTTATGACAATATATTGCTTCATTATGACCATGTATTGGCTTCAGGGACAAAAGGATTAGATTGGAGAGTAGTCCTACAGCACACCAGTGCAGATCAGATGAAGTAGTTTAACAGTGCTTGACTGGCTACCCAAAAGGATTTTTTAGGTAAAATGGGGGCAACGATTCGCATAAACCTCCATGCGTTTGAAAACTTTGTTGAGTCTTAAACAGGAGGGTGGGCACTGGGTGATCATTGGCTGGTCCAAGCCGTCACTCACCTAGATGTCAGACTCTGGGGTGGTAAGTATCAGGAGCCAATCACGGTGGCACTCTGGAAATTTCCCGATTTCCCATATAGTATATATATATCAAATACATATTAATCTATATTATATTAAATGTATATTAATATATATTATATTAAATATGTATATATATTTCCAGGGTAATATCCTTTCAAAAATAAAAATAATTAAAAAAAATGTGGTCATGACTGTTTGTGGGACACTGCTATGCGAATTGGCCACAAAATATACAGTCAATTCACTTTACAGTATATTCTGTGAAGCGATTTGAGGCATCTCAAAGACGTGATATATCACTGATTAGAACAAAACTAGAAAATCAGAACAAAACTATATCAAATGCAAGGATTATTACAATGTAAGGATTATTATAGCTTGTCTGCCCCTGTAGTTTGATAATGATAGTAAATCTACTGAAAAAATAATATCATCAACATTACTATTTCGGTAATGTATCTAGGTAATGTATCTTGTTTACATTTAATAAAATAATAATCATTCTTGCATTTGATACATTTGACTATATGAATTATGGCTCCCAAAGTAGAGCTTGAATTCACCATCTTCTTGTAACTCAGAGGCAAGAAAGAGTACTACCAATTGAGCTAGGGTGACACACTTGCAACTAAAATGGAGTGAACACTGAGTGCTAGTTTTGTCTCAATCACACTTACCTGTGTTTGTAAACAAAATGCATAGCAATTTACAAATTGCAAAACAAGTATTTACTCCAATTTTGTTACACTCTAATGCATAAAAACAAACATGTGGCCCGTTTGTACTGCTGGAAGGGATTTTCAGTAGTAAAGTGGTCAGCAGCAAGAAAGAGCTGGAGGAGAGCTGTGGGGGCTCAAAGTAGAGCTCCCCTAACCAGCGGTAAATTCTACTTTTACTTACTAAAAAGCTGATCAAGCAACTCATTTTCTACGAAACATCAAAATTGTTTCCTTAAAAGTTTTTGGGCAGTCTTGCACTGCTTGGAGGAAAATATCAAGCGCTGGGCAGTGATGCCCATGTGTTATTACATCACATCACTGTTGATTTTGTATTGCCAGGGAGAGTTACACATGACCATCTGTTTCTCTCTCACTTGTGTGTGTCCTATTTCTGAAGCCACACGGAAAACAATCCATGCATTTTGTTGCAACAACTTTCACATCAGGATGATGTTCCAAAGTGCTTCACTGGATTTATTATGAAGAAAAAAGTGACCGTATAGCAAACATGGCAGCTCAATTGTAAATGTCCCACAAACAACCATAAAACTATAGACTATTTTTATTTGGAGGATTGTTGACCAAACACTGAAAGAACCTCTGGAGGGAGGTCAGAGAGGGTAGGAGGATGACTGAAGGTTCGGTCGAAAAGGAGGGACTTGAGGTATGCCTTGAAGGAGGAGAGGGAGGGAGCGAGGCAAAGGGAATGTGGGATGGCATTCCAGAGGGTGGGGACAGAGAAGCTGGCTGAAGGCCCTTCCGCTTGCTGAGCGGACAAGTTGATAAGGGGTTAGCAGGTCAGTGAGGTAAGAGGGGCCAAGACCATGGAGGCCTTTGAAGGTGAGGACGAGGATTTTGAATTCTATCCTCTGAGGGATGGAGAACCAGTGGATGGGGTCACGGAACCTGATGCGGGAGAGGACACGAGCTGCAGAGTTCTGGATGATCTGAAGCTTGTGGAGGGAAGAGTTGGGAAGGCCGACAAGCAGGGCGGTGGCATAGTTGAGCCTGGATGCAATGAAGGCATGTATTCCCTCTCCTTCATGTGAAGGTCTAGCTTCCTCTTGAATGCATCAAACTTGAATGCATCTGAACAGTCGGACAGAACTCAGGGAACAGTGCTACCAACTGAGTCAGGCAGACAGTCAAGGTTTCCACATCCATTACGGATGTCTGCAAAAATGACAGTCAAACTCTCTTGGTACAGAAACTTGACTCACTCCACTGTCATGAGAATCTAAAACAAACTGCCTCAAAGGCCATAATTAGTAGTCAATTGAGCCTGGCGCAGTTGGTAGCACTTTCACCTTTGGGTCCAAATGTTGTGGGTTCAAGCCTCACATCAGGAGCTGGTAGGCATATAGTCCAAGCTGATACTCTAATGCTTGGGGTGTGCGCATTGTTGTCCTTAACACGAGATGTTAAGCCGAGGTCCTATCTGCCTCTTCAGGTGGACGTTAAAGATCCCACGGCACTATTCAAACAATTTCCCAAATAAAAATGGATTATTCACTTCATGGCTGTGTGTGGGATATTGCAGTGCACAAACAGTATATTCTGTGTAGTGCTTTGAAATGCCCTCCTGATGTGAAAGGCACTAAATTTAACAAATGTAACAATTTTTATTATTCAAAGAAAGTGATAGATACTTTCTCATATTAAGACAGATAAATGAAATTAAAGAGTCACCATAGAAGAACATGGTCAAAAAGCTGAATGGTCTATTGCTATGTTCTACTGACAAGGCAATGTAGTTAGTTGCTGATTCTGACAGGAAGGGAAGATGTGAAAAATTTATCAATATAATGTTAACATTTTTCATACTTTAAAAAAGTTGTTTCTAGCAGTTAACACACTGTACCTTATACAATCCAAAGAATCCCAAGTCCTTTACTATGCTAAATGCACTGACACGATGACCAGAGGTGTCTTCACCTGCCACTTGCAACCGGATCTTGACAATCTCCAGTGGATTAGTGAAGATAACCTGTGAAGCGCCAGCCTATGGAAAGAACAAGTGTATTCATTATCTTGTAAAAATTTATGTCTACCAACTGGTCACAGCACTAAAAGAAACAGAAGGTGTTTCAAACAGAAATCACGAATAAAATAAAACCCTGAGAGGACTCAATTTTCCACAGTACACAAAACTGAGGAATGCGTGTATTTTCTTTATCAATACAAACCATCAGCATTATAATGCGGAGTTGCCAAAACTCATGTAACAATGAGCGCATGAAAAAAAATGGTCACCGATCGCGCTTCTGGGATGTCAAATTATCATTGATGTCACTTCCTGCATATTTGAATGCTGTGTACAAGGAACGCTGCTGGGGTCATTTCCTTTGCTATCAGCAACACATAGTACACGTGTGCAGGACACATGTACAATACAAAATTATATTTGTATAGCCCCTTTCATGTAAGGAGGACGTCTCAAGGTGCGGATGGACAGTCAGGGATTTGGATCTGAGCTGGGGGTCGGGATCGGGGAGGGTGGAGGTGATTTTTGCACCATTTCTTGCTCAGAGCGAAGGTATACAGGAAGTGATATCAGCCTGCACACAGCACACAGGATATAATGTCGGCAGTAACTTGACAACCAAGAAAGGAACCAATGTTTAGCTTGTCTGAGCCAAAAGCTGGGTGTATCACACTTCCGGTATGGTTATGGTATGGTATAGTGAATCCATTGAAGACCTGTGATTATAAACAAACTCAGGGACAACATGTTCTAATGGAGTCATCCTGTATTATCTTTGAATAATTCTGCAGAAACCACATTTTTAATTCAACTAAAGGTCTACAGCATGCTTTCAGGCTCATTTTCTGAACAGTAGCTGTCTGAAAATGTTAAAATTACTGCTTCTTGTGTGGCCAAGTCCAAGTATGATTGCCTTTTGAAGCAGTGACCATATTTAATTACAACAACAAGGCAGCCGCAACCACTAATTCTCCCCACCCCTAGAGACGCATGTTATCAAACCCATGTCTGAAAGATGAAGAGGAAATCAGTGTATTCCATCAGGAATGGACACAGAACATTTCATAGATTCACAAAATTGTACAGCACAGATGGAGACCATTTGGCCAATTTTGCCTGTGCCGGCACTCTGAAAAAAACTATCCATTCGGTGAAGATATTTGGGATTATTTTGGTCTTTTGTTACTTAAAATTAGATGCACAGTAGAATGAAAAAGATTACTATGAGGATTCCTGCTTCCCATCTAGGAACATGAGAAAATAACCTGGATTGTGCATTAAAGACAATGGATTTTTGAGAAGGCCTTCAAGGTCCTATTGAAACATAGAGGTAATAAAAGTCCTTATCAAATGTCCTCCAATTTTCTCCCTACTCTCTTCCACTCCTGAAGGGAAGGAATTCTATTTTTTTTCCCCTTCTACCATGCTAGTCATCGTCTGGTGCCTCAACATAATAGCCATTATTTATGGGTGAGCCTTGCTGGGTTATTTAACTGGGGGGAATCCTGTCTTTAATTCCTGACTTCTACGTGCCTATACCTGTTGGGATGGGGCATTGTATCTGGATAGCTATAAAGTGATAACGTGTATAAACCCTGGCTGATTTCAATCTCCCTTAACCCAGAGTTGCTGAGGCCAATTTGGTAACCCAACTGGGGAGATCAGTTAACTCAGCACAGATTCAGCACCAGAGACATACAGACCAGATTCAATCCCTGTGCCTTTCTATAGGGGCATCATATGGACTTGTGCTGCAGAGTTACACACTGGACGAGCTTGTATTTTTTTAAGTCTGTGAAACAGAAGTGGTGTGGCAAAGGGTTAAACTGTTAGGAAAAGAAAAATCCAATTTCATTTTAAACTGGCAGCTTGAATATAATGCTCACTCGGGCAAGACAAGATAAAACAACTTCTGTCTTAAAATGAAAGATTTTGGCTCAATTACACCTGCTTTTCTGTCAGCAGTCTCAGGCTCAGGTTTCAGTGAGGCTTCAGGCTTTCATCAAGAAGCATGACAAGTCTTGCAAACATGGAAGTGGCTGGGGATTAATCTGGAGGGTAAAACCTGGTACACGCTGTCTTGTGGGCTGCACTCTTTATCCCTTTGAAAACGATCATTTCTAAAAAATGTAAAGACACAGACGGCGCTGTGAGGATTACACTAACGTCCAGCAAAATGTTTTACAAACATGAGCTGTTTTGTGTAGGGCAAACAAAGCCAAGGCTGCAGTCAGACAGGGACTGGGTTTAGCTCCAAAACTGATCTATTGCCACATTTAGGAGTCAGTCCTATTTGCTTTGCTCTAGAATTTTCATCTGGGTGAGCGACATTTTCACTGTACACCAACCAGTAATCGGGCCTCATCACTGTAAGCCATTGATTATTATTTCCATCGTTCTTCAGTTGACTCCTTACAAAGGTATCAGGCTGCATCAAAGTGATCAGAGTATAACAAAGCCAAGATTATGAAAGCATTTAAAAGGCAATTGGATAAATACCTGAGGAAAAATAATATTAATGGATACTGTGAAACAGCAAGTGAATGAGATTACAGACCTCCAATGGTGGAAGGTAGCACTCCTACGGCATAAAAGGATACAGCGTCTTTCTATGCTGTAAACCTTCCACTTCATGGCTTTTGTTGGGACACTGCTGTGCAAAAATTTACTGCCAAGCTCGCCTACAAAATAGACAGTATATCCTGTGAAGCGCTTTGAGATGTTCTACTGACATTCAAGGTGCCCATCAAATGAAAAGATTAATACTATTATGATCTCTAAGAGAACATATGCTTTGAAATTTATATTCTAGTTTGGGGACAATTTTGAATATTCCTCTTTTGCTTTTGCAGGTTAATAACGTGACCATGGTTCTCACCTGTTCATCACCACCTGGTTCACCTTATTCACTTACTTTATTCACTACTACTCAATATCCCTTATATATTTAGTCAGATTCATACGTATGTAGTTTCTGACCAGAGCTAAGTTCTCATTCAGTGCTGATAATCCAATTAGAGTTTCTGTGCTCAACCATGAAGTTGCTGAATTAACATAATTTCTCCAATTTAATGATGTATCGCTTAATGTTATTACATTTTTCAGGACCAATCTGATTTGCATCTACAAACTTTGAGTGTTATTGATAATACGTTAATATATTTAAAAATTCTGCATATGTTCCAACATGCGGGTGCTTGGAACATTGAAACTGGGTGTTTGCGGTGGGATTTGGAACAGACTGAAAGAAATATGGAAATGGCAGAATGAACCCACTTCCCGCTGTACATTACTGTACTGCCTGGGAGCAAAGCAGCTTCAGTTCCCGTCTCAGTGTTTGTTACCTTGGTCGGAGCAGAGGTGTCAATCAGAGAGCCGGAATGAGAGGTACAGGCAGTGCGGAGAGTGATAGGAAGAGAGCTGGGGCGGGAGATATATCCCTGCTCTCTCTTGAAAGAGGAACTTGATGATTGCCTGGCAGCCTTAAGTTGGTGCCCATCCAAGTTTCCATTCATAGCTACGCCTCTGGTTCAGAGGGTGTTTCTGGGTGCAAGATCTGCACTTTAATTGGCACAAATGCTATGTGTGCATCTTGGAAAACGGAAAACAAGTATTTGTAGTGAAAATCAGCAAAAACAAGTTTTAAAAGGATCCTGCAATTTCACCATGACCTGATGTTCACATCAGTCCTGCCTTGGGACAGTAATTATCCCATTAGCCTTTAGTATGCTACACTTGCTACACTTCACAACTAAGCGTCTAGGTTTAGTACCGACAATTATTACCTTTGTATTGGAAGTGTAGTATGGTTTTAGATTCTTTTATGAAAGGTCGTTTATGTATGTTGCTTTTCTATTATAAGTTTGTGTCCTGAGGCAAACCTGCCTTGGGAAGCAACTCAAAATGTATGTCCAGATCTCCTGGTGCTGCATTTCCTACCTAGAGTCTGATCTCCCATTGCCTCACAGAGGAGCACCGATTCCACATTGACAAATCGCAATGCTTGAGGTCATTGTGTAAGATTTGTGATCCTGCTATCAGACTTTCGAACACATGTGAATCATCATTAGAAATTTATTGAATGTTCTACGATCTTTTCAACCAAGAGGATTTATTATTAGAATTATTGTTAGTTTAGCTGGTTCCAAGGTTCATTTTATTATTATTCTTCATTACTCTTAGTATGTTAAATGTTTATAATAAAAAAATTTAAAAAGAAAATATTGTTTTTCGTAAAAGTGGTGGAGGCTCCTCTTTAGGCAGGATTTGAAGGGGGGGGGGGGTGTGGGGGGGGGGGGAACGGTATAGCCAACAATTCCAAGATACGAGTAAGAAATTACTCTCAGTATCATTTATTTCTTCATTTTTGGAGTCTCCTGGTTAATCAATTGAAAGGCAATCAAGCAAAATTCCAGTACATGATCCAAGCCCGTAACTGGCTGTGGTCAAGGATTTGTGATTAATATGTTTGTAGTCAAGATAAAAGCTGCATCAAACAATCATTATGACACTAATGAAGGCTATAAGTAGGCAATATTTTAGAAGAGGTAAACATTACTAGCAAAATAAAGTCCTGAATTTTTATTAAAAATGCAGATTAATTATCCTAAACATTGTGTGCTTTTTGTTGTAATGTATTAAATAACTTGTTCTGACAGACAAATATGAATTTTCTGCTCCTTCTGAATAAATCCATCTATGGCCCGTGTACTGCAGCAATTTAGGCAGGGTTGGAAACTCATTTAGATCTCAAGTTGACATTTCAGCGTGCACATAGATCTGTTTGTACATCTCAATGCTACAGAGAACCCTTCCGGGAGACAAGGACGATACAGTTATTAAGGTGTACGCAGTCTACTTTGTGCTTCAAGACCAGCACAATATGTTTGAGGACATCAAAAGGAAGCTTATCAAAGCTTTGTTTGCCGTTTCTCAATACTCCTAAAGTTACTGCAAGGGGAAGTCTTACCTCACAGAGCCAGCAGGTCATTGATAAAACACAGGGAGCAGTCAGATGACAGTCAATGCTGTCTCTCCCACTCTTTTTCTCTCCCTTGGTGAATTTGCAAGCAGACAAGAATTCTCACGTCTTTCAAGCTCCAATGATTAACTTCAGGCAGAATCTCCATCAGCTAAAATGCATGGGCTGCATGGTATGACAAATGATTGTTGTGTAGTATACACAGATTACCTGCCTGCTTCTAGGCTACAGAGGTAAAATATTGACTTGCAGGTTATAGGCATGATTTGAGTGCACCGCCATGAATGAAACATGCAATGCGATGGGGAACAGTTTACACTATTTTCCTGATCAAGTGTATGTTAAAGATCCCATGGCACTATTCAATAAGAGAAGGGATTTTCTCCAAATCTCCTGGCCAACAATTCCCCAAATAAAAAAATTGGTCATTTACTTCCTGGTGGGATGTTGCTGTGCATAAAATGACTGCCAAGTCCGCCACAAACACACACACTGCACTCTACAAATTTACATTTATATAACTCCTTTCACATTGCCTTTATATGCTATGAAGTGTCTGGAATCCTTCTGCCCTTTCTCCCAGAAGCATTCTCCCAGAAGCATGTGGCACTGAACTGTGCAGATCTCATATTGACGTCTTGTGATTGCTCTAAATCCCCCACCCTCTCTGAGCCACCATTGGTGGCCGAGCCTTCAGATATTATACCCCTAATCTCTGGAACTCCCTACCTCTACCCCTCTATCTCGCCCCTTCTCTCTGCCTTTAATGTCCTGCCTTAATTCTACCTCTGAACATATCTATGGCCGCCTTTCTCTTCCCCTCTCCCTCGCTATCTGACCTCGTTTGTGTAAAATCCGCTGAGACGTTATCCTATGTATATCATGTTATATAAATGTAATTAATTTTAAAAGGCACAAGTGTTATCTCATACACAATGAAAGGGAAAAGTTATTACCTCAAATTGAAGCAGTTCAATAATTATATTAACTGCCCGAGGTGGGCGGACAGTGGCGAAGGCTAATAAAGCTAACAAAGCGTTCCAGAAAGTAACAACTTCATTATCCAAATGACTCCCATTTGATTATGAAAACAATCTTCGTTTCTGACCTGCACATTTGGAAATTAGCTCATTTATATATTTTATGTGTTGCACACATGTATAAGCACACACTGGAGCAGTAAACTACTACCAATTATTCTTCCTTGGACACCTCTTTAATCAAATTAATGCAGATGGAATGGAGATTCAAAAATCTAAGTATCTAATGCTTGTATGGTAGTAGTGGTGGCTCGCATCTCCCGATCCCAACTCAGCCTATCCCCTTACTCCTCCAGAACCTTCCCTTCCTTTGAGCACGTTACCCTTTATCACCCCTCCAACCTTTCCTTCAAAATTCTCCTTATCTCCTCTCTCGCCACTCCCTTCATGAGCCCCTCTAATCAGGTTTCCATGCCGCTCACAGCACAGAAACAGCTTTGGTCAAAGTGACAAATGATATTTTGTATCTGAGACTCGGGCTCCCTCTGCATCCTTATCCTCCTTGACCTCTCTGCTGCTTTAGATACCATTGACCACTCTATCTTCATCCACTTCCTCTCCTCTCACGTCAACCTTCATGGTTCTTGGGTGGTTCAGATTGTATTTCTCACACAGTCTCCACTTCATTTCCACAAAGGGTTTCTCCTCTAGCCCCCGCACTGTCTCACGTGGCGTTCCTCAGGGCTCTTTCCTTGGTCCCCTCCTCTTCAATATCTATATGCTTCTGCTTGGTGGCATGGGGTCAATTTCTACACGTATGCAGATGACACCCAACTCTATCTCTCTGCCTCCACTCTTGACTCCAGGACCACTGCATTCACTTTTCTGGTGAATTTTTATGCGAAACAAACAAAATGTTGTCAGACATCAAGTCCTGGATAAGAGCTAACTTTCTACAGTTGAACGTCAACAAGACCGAGGTCCTTCTGATTGGCTCCTGTCAGTTCCCCCACACCTCAGGGGCCAACAGCATCACCATCGAAGGATGCACACTCCACCTTGCTAAGCCAGTCCAGAACCTTGGCTTCTTATTTGACCCTCAACTGTCCTTTCTACCCCACATCTGTGCTATGACCTGCTCTGCCTTCCCCCACCTCCGCAACATCGCTTTTCTCCACCACTGTCTCACACCGCAGGCCACTGAAACCCTCATACATGAATCATAACATCCAGGCTTGACTACACAAACTCCCCACTTGTCGGCTTTCCCAACTCCTCCCTCCATTGGCTGCAGATCATCCAGAACTCTGCAGCCCATGTCCTCTCCCGCACCAGGCTCCGTGACCCTATCAACCCCATCCTCGCCCAACTCCACTGGCTTCCCATCACACAGAGGACATAGTTCAAGATCCTGGTCCTCACCTTCAAAGCCCTCTGTGCTCCCTCCTACCATCCTGCCTGCTGCCTCCGCTCAGCGGGCTCCGGTCTGCTTCATGTCCCCCATTGGTGGGCGGGCCTTCAGCCATTCTGCCCCCACTTTCTGGCACTGCATCCCATGGTCCCTCCGGCTCAGCCCCTCCCTTGCCTCCTTCAAGACCCATCTCACGACACTCCTCTTTGACTGTGCCTTCGGTCACCCTTCCTCCCAGCCTGCCCTCCACCTTCCCTAATCCTGACCCCCAGCTCGGGTCTGAAACACTGATTGTCTAGCACCTTGGGATGTCCTCCCGACATGAAAGGCACTATACAAATATGATTTTGTTGTTGTTGTACATGATTTTGAATTGTAGTACTTTAATTGTAAGATATGGAGTTACGCTAAAATTTATTTATAAGCCTTTTATTTCCTTTCATAAGAACATAAGAAATGCTAGATGAAAAAAGACCAAGATCTATCTAGTTCATCCTCCACCTTCCTAGGACTTTCCAGTCCCTCCATTCGTTTAATGATTTTGTGCATGCGACTCCTAGTTTCAAATCATTTATAAAAATATTAAACAAAAGAGGTCCCAAAACAGTGGAACTCCACTGGTAACATTTTTCCAGTCTGATGACATTTCCTGTACCACCACCATCTGGGTTCTTCTAGTCAACCAATTGCATATCTATTGTAATATATCTCCACTGATTCCCGCTTTCTTTACTTTCAGTAACAGCCTCTCAAGAGGAACTGTATCAAAGGCCTTACTGAAATCCAGACGTACAATATCCACAGCCTTACCCTTATCAAGCTCCCTTGTTACACTTGTTCAAAAAACACCCACGTCAAATAGACTAGCACATCAAACCATAGAAAGAATCCTATAAGGGGTGGTTTTAGATTAGAGCATAAATAGGCTGCAACACTCAACAACAATAACAACAAAAAAATTACATTTGGATAGCACCTTTCATGTCGGGAGGACATCCCAAGGCGCTGGAAAGTCAGAGTTTCAGGCCTGAGCTGGGGGGCGGGATTAGGGAGGGTGGAGGGGAGTGGGGGGAAGCAGTACTCACACAACCACCTGCAAGAAATTCTCCTGGCAATGAGAGAGTGCCGTTTTTCCGAAGAAATATGTCTCTTACAAAGTCGTTCACCTATAACAGAACAAAACATTTCAGAAGTAACTTTTACAAACGGAATGGTAGACAGCATAAGGCCAGAGAAGCTATGTGCATCAATCCTTCAAGTACTCAGCTTCCCATTTTATTTAGAACAAAATAGGTGTTCTGCTGTGATGCCCCTTTGGTTAAACAGTACATTTGACCCTTATTGTCCAGTCTGACACGTGTAGAATGACTTAGTCAACTACCATAGAACAATATTGCGGAATGAGTCAATTTACTTTTTGAATAGTGCTTGGGGAGAGGATGGGGAAGGGTACAGAATCCTTGTGGGAAGACTGGAGGAAACAAACATGCTGAGAATTTCTACTATGGAAAAACAACAAAATGTGCTATGAATATCACAAACCAGAATTATGGAACCCAAGGATATTCCCCAACCCTGATAAAATAGATTAAAAGAAAAAATGTCATTACACACCCCAAATATGAAATGCCAGTGTTATTTTTGTACACTTTACTTTCCAAACTGAATCTGATGAGAAGCAATTTGCATGGCAAACATTGTGTGGAGACAAAACAAACATAGTAACCACTTGATTCTCTTCATTGATCAGATTCAGAAAAATTGGAAATATTCTCCAGATCATTTTCCTGGTGATATATAAAAGTATTAGAATTAAAAGGATTTGTCACTATTCCAGGGGGCAAAAGTACCCGCCTGGTCATTATCATCAGGTGAGATGTGGGCATTGTCAGAGGTGAGGCATTAAACTGAGGGTCTGCTGTTCAGGTGCATGTTAAATATTCCATGGCAATATTCGAAAAGAGAAGGGAGTTTCTCCCAGTGTCCTGGCCAACAATCGTGCAAATAAAACTGGTCGCTCACTCCATGGCTGTTTGAGGGGCATTCCTGTGTACAACTGGCTGCCATGTTTCGACCACAAAATGCACAGTCAATCTACAGTTTATCCTGTGAAGCGCTTTGAGACATTTCAACAACGTAATAAGGCGCTATATCAAATTCAAGGATTATTATTATTTTTACAGCACTTACTGTAAGTTTTATGGCCTTCTCTGGGGCAACACCCATCAGCTGTGGTATCAGACCTATATTGGGAGATAGACAAAGGAATTATATTAGTAACAACACACACAATTGTGCATTATTACAGTTATATAGACACTGGATTATCAACAGTTCTGGTTTCTTTGAATGCAAATGTATTCTTTATCGCAGTGGACAAACGTACCAACATATCTGCAAAACATGAAGTGGCAAACCCATGTCACTGTGGTAATTTGCAGCATATTATTTTGGTTTCACTTTTCTGGTGAATTTTTATGCGAAACAAACTGAAGGATGTGATTGCTGCCGAACTAAACACTTTCACCTATTTCAGCCAAATAATCGTCTGCGTCAAACATTTCTGAACTGTGGAGTAAAATTTACTTTGGATCCTCCACCACAGTATACAAAAAAAAATCCTCCTCTACTACTGCTATATTGTTTGGTTATATCTATGTCCAACGGATTGCCAATTCAACACTGTAGTTACTTTTTGGGACTTTGCATGTGTCCATGTTCCCTTCTCTTTTTAAAACAATATCCTAGTAAGTTGTTAAAAAGCAGGTGCTAATTTCAGAAATGTGTCTTTTATCTTGACTGTCTTATGGTTGTGCTGGATTCCAGCTTTGTGATTGTGAATCGAAAAGAGCAGAGGTCATTGGTTCAAGAGCACGCTGCGTCACCCTTATATTTACATCCAACGCAACTGAAACCCTCATCCATGGTTTTATCACCTCCTGCCTCAACTATTCCAGTGCCCCCCTGGCCAGTCTCCTCAACTCCACTATCCACAAAATCCAACTAATTCAGAACTCCGCACTAAACTCCATACCCCCATCACACCAGTCCTCGCCCGGCTGCCTACCATAGTATGGATCGACTTCAGGGTCCTCATACTTGTCAGCAAATCCCTTCATGCCCTGGCCCCTCCTGATCTGCTTACTCCCCATTCCACCACCTGCTGCCTCCACTCGGCTGGCTCCGGCCTCCTGCTCATCCCTCATCCCCTCCACCATCGTTGGCTGTGCTTTCTGCCACTACGCCCGGAATGCTCTTTCCCAATATCTCCGCCTTGCTGCCTCCTTTCCCTTTAAGAGATGGAGGAGGTCAGAGTGGCAAGAGGTCACCTCCTCCCACCCCCCCAGGTCGGCATCAGGCTCCGCCACTGTTAAGAGCTCCGAGGTGCTACCCTATGGGAAGGGCATTACATCAATGCAAATTGTTGTTGTTGTTTGTGGTGGTGGTTAAAATGACCATCATTATGAAATTCTGAATTTCCTGCAAATGATGCTAAATGAAAATATAGTAAATCACTCATTCAGGCTTAATTATCTCATATTTTTACACACAACTCTCTTCCAAAAAACATTTCTATCAACAATTGACACTGCAAGTTTATGGGAATTTAGAGAAACATTTTTCAAACATGCAATCTAATTGTGAACCAAGACAGCAACCTATTTGCAATTAAAAATCAATTTTTATATTGTATGACAGGTGTACAGGTTGAAAAGCAATTTTTGAACAGTGTAATGAGGTGCCTTTCACTTCATACAAACTAATATCAACCCTACAGCATTTGTCAAACTTTTCACATGCATGGGTGATTTACATTTCACATTATGTAAGGTTCACTGGGGAATGTGAATTAATAGAAGTAGCACAGAATTAATTCCATCATCTCTACAAGCATATTCTGCTACTACTTGGAAATCTGCTTGTGCTTAGGATTTCTGCTTAAGGTTTATTTTCTCACTAATGGTTCGGCAACAACAAAATGTTGCCAACACATGAATGCTGTTAGTTAAGATCTTGCCTGTTTTCACCACAGGTTCCACCTCGATTCAGCACTTAAAATTGAGATGTATACCTTGTCTATTAAAAACTGGTGTCAGTCACTTCCTAGACACCTCATGTTATTACATGTACCAGTCTGCAGATCACTCCATATAGCTTAACCAACATTTATACAGTGCCTTTCAAGTAAAAGAAATGTCTTGAAATGCTTTAAAGGATTAAAACACAATTAAAATGAAGCGAATGTTACCTTGGCTAATGTGGCAGCTATTTTATACCAAACTATCCTACATACAACAATGAGGTGAGTAGCCAATTAATTTCAAATTGGAGTCAATTTATTGTTAATATTTATAATTCGGATGAGGAGGGGAATATAAACCAAGATAACCAGAACATAAACTCTGAAATAACTAAAATAATAATGGGTATTAATTAATGGCTCAACTGAAAAAATAGATGTTGATTTGAAACAGATAAAATACAAACTTGCATTTAATATTGGAATGCCGTTATGTATGTCAGTGCCAAAATAAGTTCAAAATCTAGTTTCTGCCAGGGTTCTAGGTTCTGCCTAAGTGCTGAACAAAAACCAATAAATAAATTCTCAATAACACTGCACAACTTCTTACAGCAAGTAAACAATTATATAGGCAAACCCTACACTCTCGGGTATTATACTTATACTGCATTGAGTAGAAAATTCCTGGCACATCTGTTGGCAGTTACTTTACTCCCTAATCTCAATTGGCTGGCTGTCCTATGAGGAAGATGACATGTATACCAGTACACAGAGACTAACTTAGTTTAGAAAAAACAGGGCCATTTCACCCTTGACAATTATCATTCATTCTGCTCCACAGTCTGTGGGTTACCTACAGCAAAGTAGGGCTTCCTAAGGAAGTGGGAAGACCTGTCTGGCTTGAAGTGGCCCTAATACTAACCCTGGTTAAATACTTGCTTTCTCCAAGTCTGGGTTGGTTGCCTTATCCTCATTCATTTCATGCAAAGGATGTACAGTGTCTATAAGCGAAGGACCTCAACACAAAAATTCCTGCTGGAATGCAAATTTTGGAATTATCCTGGTGGAAGACATGGGCGCATTGCTGGTGAACCTCGAGTTAAAACATGCACGAGGCTTCTGGTTATTTTTGCAAGTAAGTGCAGCTATTCAGGCATAGTGAGAAACATACCATGTGGTTTGTCAGCAATTCTAATGCTGTGATTCACAGTTTTGCACGACTTCCCAAACCTTCAAAAGGAAGGCTCTGTCAGAGACACAGACTTTGAGGGTAAAGCCTTGCTAACCTCTGTGGGGATGGATAACCAGTTACATTCTCTAAAACTCATGCAGCAGCTGAAACTTTAAACTGCTAGAAGAGTGAGGGTTTTTTTAATATTGGAAAAAGCTGATTCTAATGGCTCTTCTTCTCACACTAGAACTGGCAACATCCAGCAGGCAAATAGGCCCAGTTCAGGAACACTGATTGGAGGAATGCTGAGCTGAGATGAGCTCTTCACCTCCTAGCCAGGCAGGAAAGATTGAGGTAAATTTGCGTTTTTTGGAGAAAATGAACAATAAAAAAGCACTGAGGACCATGATACCAAAAATACCATGAAGATATTTTACTTAATCTACTCAAATATAGTGTTCTTTACTTTTACTCTCCATCAAGCTGCAACTTCTTAGCGGTTAAACTTTTGCAACATATTGAAGCTATAATGCAGTTCTCTCTCACTAGAAAGGTTTTCGCTTGGCACTTACAATGGAGAGGGTTTGTTGCACATATTGAACAGTCCTCCCAGTCTCTAGTCTCTTGCACCTCAGTTTCAAATTTACATTTTTTTAATATCTAAAAAATATTTTTCAAAACTTAGGAATAACTTTTTAAGTAACTACAGGGAAGAAGATGGAAAGAACTGGAATTTTTTCTCCCACGAGATGCTTATTGTAACAGAGGATTCTCAGCTGGTCAATGCAATAGGAAAAATCTATAAAACACATGACTCTTGAAATGAATGGGAAACACACCATCATCATTGGGCCATGCTTACATTACCCGTGAGCAATTACATTGCCCTGTGGACAAAACGTGGCAGCCAATTGCACACAGCATTGTCCTACAAACATTTGTAGATTGAGTGACCAATTTTTGTTTGACGGATCATTATCCCCAGAAAGTGATCCGTATAATGACTAATAACTGGGTTCCTACTTATTGCTAGGTAAACAGAGGCTTGTGGAGTAAGGAAACTTGTCTAAGGTTTTGCCCCGCCCAGGTCTTCTCACTTGTGAGATGAGTGCACTAACCACTTTGCTACAGTACTCCAAAACAAGCTCTCCTACAATGGATGAGGGAGTAAAGGCGCTATATAGACCAGAATCTTGCTGGCTTGAATCCTAATGTAAACTGAATTAACTGATTTCAGATGGATTAAAAGTTAAGGTGCTACAATTCAACTCAATGTCAATGGCCATGGGTTAGGGAAGGGAATAAAATCATCCAGACTTCTTGCTCCTATTCTTTTTCATCTCCAAAGACCAGTATTTGGAAGATACATGTACATGTGTATTTCAGGAAGAATAGGATTAGGCTTGGCTATGATGCTTTCTATGATCAAATAGCCTAACACTCAATGTCCAGAGTCACATATGAATAGTGGCTACTTGGCATAGTGCCATAGAGCACCTGCTGTTTGTGGAACCAGATCTTTGTAGCACGGAAAAAAGGTTGGCAATTGCCTTGGAAGGAGGGAGGGAGGGAGACTCTGGAGAAAAATTGGCTGAAAATAAAATATAGTATTTGTTAGATTTAAGAGATGAGAAATTCTAGAAACTATTCAAAAAGGTACTAAACTGTATCCTGTAACAAGGTTTATCCAGCAAGTGGCAGTATCTGCTGCCTATTTGTAAAGACTTCAGAATAAGGGGATCAGATATCTCTTGAGCACCTTGACAATAATAATGAATGGTTATGCCAGAGAACAATGTGAGAACTGACCTCTGTAAAGGCCAATAATGCCTTCATACTGCACCACTTTTCTGAAGCAATCAAAGCTATTCTTGTACATAGATTTGTCGCTGATCAGCTTTGTGGTACGTTGGTTCTGCATACGGGTTTTCACCAGGTCAATTGGATAGACAGTCGTGGCACCAGTGGCTGCAGGGCAAAGGAGAGATAAAACTATTTTAATGTCTTCAATAATAGACACAAGGGAGCAGACACTAATCTAAAAACACTAGCTGAATGCAAATCACATTCATCAATTAAGTTCTTTTCATTTACCAACTTTGGCTGGTTACAAAGAAAGATGTCACCAGCAGGTTTAATTAAAAGTGTATCAGAGGTAGCTCTAACTTGTCATTAACTTGTCTCTCCTGAAGCCAGTCTGGAGCCAAAAAAGGCAAAACATCTCTTCCAACCCTCTGATCAGCAACAGGTAGAAAAGTATCTATGCTACTATTCTTCCCCCACTCCCCACCTTCCCCCATACACACATACAGAAATATATATATATTTACTGAGTAGCAGATGCTCCAAAGGAAGATAGAGGGGGTATTTGTATTTTTTATTACATGGAAGTCATTTGCGACTAACCTCCAGCTATTCCACCAAGAATAAACCTGTATCCTGACTCTGCTATCTGAATCAGAGGAGAACGAGACAAGCTGCTCCTGGCCAGCTAAAATAAGGAGGAAGGAAAGAATTTTTTTTTAGCAATCTGAGATGGAAACATTCTACAAGGTTTTACTGACCCAACACCAAGTGCCAAAAGTTAAGCTTCTGTACTACAACATTATGAATGTCCCGACAAGGGCGACGGAGTTGCATATCATGGTGTCCAAATAATCCTAGTTAAATCAACAAGTCAAATCATTAAACAAAACTATATTCTCGAAACCCTCAGAGCACATAGTACATAACATGTCAAACATTTTAATACACAAAGGATCAGATAATATTTGCTTCATCGTAGAATAATGTTGTTTACAGCGCACATATAAACTATTTGGCCTATTGTGTTGGTACTGATGCAAGCTCCTCTGACTGCTATCTACTTACACCATTTCCCTACTTCTCCCAATTCACTTTCATAATAATTTTTGCATTTGTTATATGTCTTTCATGTCAGGAGGATATTTCAAAGTGCTTTGCACCCAGTAGTGTCCCACAAGCAGACGTTAAGGAAGAAATTAATATTATTTTTCCTCAAGTATTTATCAAGTTCTCTTTCAAATGTTGTAATTTTCTTTCAAATGTCAGCTTCAGCAGTCACCTGTGCTACGGTATTTCATATTCTAACAATCCTCTGTATATCTGTACGTGTAAAAAAATCAACCTTTTTTTCTCCTTGAGCTAATCCCCAATTCCAGCCCCTTTAATGACTGGTCAATCAATGCCCACTGGTCAATCAGTGGCCAAATATCAGATATCTGAATTGTAGCTGGAAGGAATGTACTGCAATGCTCACCATTTACATAATTTCTGCTTAGATTTTTCTGTAAGGTCTATTTATGGCAACCTGAAGCTGTAATATGAGGAAGAGGCATCAAGCTTCACTGTATCTTGTGTTGTATAACTGATGGCAGTCAGATTATTACAGGAAAATTATTAACAATATTAATAATAATCCACGGATTTGGTACAGTGCCTTTCACAACAGGACATCCCAAAGTGCTTCACAGGATATTCTGTAAAGTGGTGTGATTATGTTTTTTTGTGGGCGAATGTGGCAGGCAATTTTGTGCTGAGGAATGTCCCACAAACAGCCAAGGAGTGAGTGACCAATTTTATTCGTGGACGATGGCAAGGAACCGGAAAAACTCCATTCTCTTTTCGAATAGTGCCATGGGACCTTTAATGTCCACCTGAGCAGGCAAATAAGTCCTTGTTGAAACAATTAACAACCGTTGGAACAATTAACATCTCAAAGGATTTATTGTAAAATGTAGTGAATGTATATTTGTAGATGAAATGTAGATTTGTACGTGACTGAATTTTATTTGGGAGATTGTTAATCAGGACACCAGAACTCCCTTCTTTTTTCAAATAATGCCATGAGAGCTTTGACGTCCACCTGAACTGGACCTCAGTTTAAGGTCTCATTTGAAGGCAGGCACCTCCGACATTGCAGCACTCCCCCAGCACTGTATTGAAGTATCAGTCTAGATCAGGGTGGTCCAACTGGTGGCCCACGGCGCACCATTTCCTCATCCAGTATCTGTGGCTCCATTACCCGTATAGCTACACCACCATCCCCGCCCCTCCATTGCCTGAGCTGCCCGTTGTCAATGCCCCTGACCCTCAATATCTGGACCTGGGTCCCCGATTCAGTAAATGTGACCCCAATCTGTGCCCGACTCCTCGCCCCCTATGTTGGGCTACCAAAACACTGGCCTGCTCTGTATCTGTGCCTTGCAATTCTATAAACTCCATATGCTGAGTTGATACTTTGTGCTTTCATTTTAATACATAAAAACAAACTTGATGCATATATTATTTCCATTTGAGATTCTTATGGGCTACTGGAAGGAAAACACATAAATATTGCTTACGCGGCCCATGGACATTTCTCAATTCTGGCATCCGTTGGACCACACTGGTCTTGACCATGAGCTCAAAGTCATGACATGGGCCTTGAACTTACAACTTTCTAACTCAAGAGGTGAGAGTGTTAGCCACTCACACCTAACAATACTGACATATAGCAGCAATTTCAAGAAGGTATGCGCCATCAACCCACCCCAACCTACTCATCCAATTTTTCACAAGACTCCTTCAGTATTGTCTCTCTCTAATCCTGACTCCTTTTAATTGATGGGAATTTATGTAGTTTCTTTTTGAAACTCCTTTCTCTACCACTGATTTTCTGTTCTATACATGGTTCTATACATAATGTGGAAATCTTGCTGTCAGATTGACTGATTAATACATTTCACACAATCTTCTATTTTAAAAGTAAAAGCATTGAAACCCTTGCATTTATATAGTGTCCTACATGCAGACTAGGCCACTGAGTTGCAATTGTACAGCTGATTCTTTCATGTCAGTAGCTGTTATTAACTATAACCAAGTTTATGCTGTTTCAGGATTTAATAGACATATTCCAATGAAAAACATTCTTGTTAATGCAGTATACACGCGTTTGACTTCAATACTAAATTACAGTAGAAGACTGCTTGTCTACATAACATCACAAGAACACTAAGAGTACATACTAGGCAGAATCAAATGATTAACTAAAATATCATTTGTGATTCTGGACCACAACACAAAATGTGGCCCTTATTTTGTTTCTTGAACAATTCTGAAGTGCCATTGATAGGCCAATTAAATATTTTTTCCAAAGTTATGAATTAAATCGTTTAACTTGCAAAGATTGTGTCCATAATACAATACAATATTACATTTGTATAGCGCCTTTCACATCGGGAGAATGTCCCTAGATGCTGGACAGTCAGGGATTTGGACCCGAGCTGAGAGGTTGGGATCCGGGAGGGTGGAGAATGGTCGAAGAGGAGGGTCATTGAGATGTGCCTCGAAGGAGGTAAGGGAGCAAGGCGAAGGGAATGTGGGATGGCGGGTCTTTCAAGCCTTAAGATCCTGGTCACCCATTCTCACCTGAGCGTTTGCAAAGTAGTCTTCCTGCGGCGGCATTATTTTTTCAAGGTCTGTATTTGTCACATCTCTGTGAATGAAGAGAGAGATCACATTACATAACACACAGACAGAACCTTGCTATAAGTGCCATTGGTGATAATTACTCCATTGTCTGAATTTCTGCTCCCACGTGTGTTCAGATATTTGGCTGTGGATGAACATTCATTGAATATAGTTTGGTCCAAAGCCTATTGTGACGGGCATTAAATCTACCTCCAAAAATGGAGTTAAATACAGATAAATGTAAGGTAGTGCGTATAGGAAATAAAAATAGGGGGCACGTGTACTCTGTGGAAGGGATATAATTTGCCAAGGGGGAAAGTGGAAAGATTTAAGGTATGTTAGTTGACTCACTGCTTACCATGTCAAAACAGTGTGAGGCAGCAATAAATAACTCAAAGCAGGTGGCTGGGCTATATTACCCAAATCACACAATCGCAAGATTGGTTTGAATGAAGAATAATATCTCATCCCTCCACAATATACCATCTTCCTATCACAGCATCAAGTTGCTTTTTAAATAAGTGCAGCATCCTAGCCTCACAACCACCCTTCCTGGCAAACCATTCTAGATGTTAATTACTCTGAGCAAAGAAAAACTCCCCACTTTGCAGCTCTAAACCTATGTCCTCTTGTGCTACTTCTTGATGTATTCTAAAGTATTGTTCTGGGTTTAATTTTTCAATCTCACTTAACATTCTATATACCTCTAATAAGATCCCCTCTGACACATCTCATGACTGAGGGCCTCCAGCTTGTCTTATCATTGCTTGTAGGCATATTCCTCTAACACTGGAGATCATCCTCGTTGCTCTCTTCTGCAATTCATCTAGGGCCTGAGTAGCTTACTTATGTACGGAAAACAGAACTCTATGCAATACTCTTGGTGTAGCCTCATCAGAGCATAAATAGCTTGAGTATAACATCTGGGGATTTGAACTCTAACTATTTGCCAAATAATATTGGTCACTTATTCCATGGCTGTTTGTGGGACACTGTTGTGTGCAAATTGGCTGCTATATTCGCTCATAAAATACGCACAGGCACAACACTTTACAATATATCCTGTGAAACACTTTGAGACGTCTTGACAATGAGATAAAGCGCTATATAAAACGCAAGGATTATTATTATATTATTATATAGCTCAGCATCTTGTTTGCTGATCCCTAGTATTATAGGAATGAGCTGCGAGCACCCATATATAAATCCTATGCCAATAGTCATACATTATATCTGGCCCTATCCAACCTAAGTGATTACTTGCGACACATGCTACGACAATATAAAAATGCAAGTTTGTTTGAAGTTTTTTTCTTTCAAGTTTACCACAAAGCTCTTGAATCAACAGGTCTGAAGTGTCTCAGGTGGAGAATGAAAGCAAAGCACAAAAAGATTTTTTTGCTTGTCTGTAAAAAGAGTTCCCCACAATATTCTTTTCAATACTTCACCCAGTTCAATCAGATAAGAAGTCCAGCAATCCTCCTAGTTTTGGCCTTCATTCCTTCAAGGTCCATCTCAACATGTATCTATTTGACCACGACTTTGTTCATCTTTTTCCTCCCTCGCACACCCTCTTTGTTTCCCACCCCAGTTCAGGTGTACAGACAGCAGTGTTGAGTGCTTTGAGATGTCCCCCTGATGTGAAAGGCGCTGTGTAAATGTATATTGCATTGCCTTAAAATTTAATCATGTAAAATTATGGAAAATTATTCAATTCAGTCTTACATCGGACTCCAGTTTCCACAGTTCTTAGTTTATAAATTAAGACTAAATTTAATAATTTCTTAAAATTCTACATGATCTTAAATTTAAGGCATTAGTCTTAATGCAAAGCTCAGGATGATTTTGAGCCTGACGTACTGCCAATTTCAGCAGGAAAAAAAATGGTATGGAATGAAATAAAATGATTTGGCCTTGAATATGGGAATCATCTGCTGAACTGCTCAATTGCATTAACTGCGGTAGCTACTTGGTGTCCTGCCACATACACAAACAATGGCATGGGTCCAGTGTGATCAACCAGCAACGTAGAACCTGTATCCCTCTTCACAAAACTCTTAGAAAATATATTCAAAACCACTGAAGTGTAAAACTTGTTCTAATTTCATAATTTTCACTGGCTTCATTAAACATCTACATGGGGGAGAAATTCCACCCAGGTGTCTATTTATTCTACTGACATCATTTCTGAGTGTCTAGATTTGGCAAATGCCTACACAGATCCTCAATTTTGAATGGTTGTTTTTGTAGGTTCTTTTAGGAACATAGGAACAGGAGGAGGCCATTCGGCTCTTCAACCCCGTTCCACCATTCAATTAAATCATGGCTGATCTGTACTTCAACTAATCCTGTCAATTCCAATTTCCTGCTTTCGCCCCATATCCCTTAATACTCTGATTTACCAAAATATTAACCTCTCTCTTGAAGGTGTGGATGGATCCAGCATCCATGGCCTTTTGGGGGAGAGAATTCCAGATTTCTTCTACCCTTTGAGTGAAAAAATGCTTCCTGATTTCACTCTTAAATGGCCTGGTTCTAATTTTAAGACTATGCCCCTTGTTTTGGATTCCCCACCAAAGGAAATAGCTTCTTTGTATCTACCCTATCAAATCCCTTTATCATCTTAAATACCGCAATCAAATCGCCCCTCAACCTTCTAAACACAAGGGAATACAATCCAAGTATTCGCAGCCTTTTCTCATAACTTAACCCTTTTAGGCCTGATAACATTCTGGTGAACCTGAGCTGCACCCCCTCCAGGGCCAATATATCTTTCCTGAGGTGTGGTGCCCAAAACTGAACGCAGTATTCCAGATGGGTTCTGACCAATGCTCTATACAGTTGAAGCATCATTTCTTCCCCTTTGGTTTTAAGAACCATAGAAAAACAGCTTCAAAGTTAAGATTGATATCGCTGTGAAATGCTAAGTCAATACAATAAATCTAGATCCAGGTAGAATTTCTGCAACAACAGAATATCTAACAAATTCCATGATAAGTTAACCACAATAGTAACCACTTCGACATGAACCTTGCAAACTATTTTTAAAAAAAGTTTTCTGCCAAATGTCTCCCCTCCTCCTTTGAAGCCAAGTGACTCATGCTAGATTAATTTTCAGGAGCATTTGCTCACTTTTCAGTACCTCACTCAAGTGCCTAACCTTCGTCTGTGAGCATCGACAGGCTTTGTGACCAAGGGGAAAATTACTGGAAAGTTTAATCTGGTCCATACGCAATGTCTGGCCACACATTCACACTTTCCAGCACAAGCCATCAGTGGATACTTATCAGAAAAAACGTTCTTAATGATGTTGATGTTGAGTGTTTAAAGGTGGCGCCCAGGTAAAAAAGTACATAAAACATGTAAATAGGATTGTGGATTTTTATAATGAGGGACTGAATACAATGGCATGGAAGTGATACTACAACAACAGCAACATTACATTAATATAGTGCCTTTCATGTCGGAGGATGTCCCAAGGCGCTAGATAGTGTTGCACTCAGCCTGGGGATTGGAATCAAGAGAGGTGGACGGTCAGGTGAGATGGGTCGAAAGCTAGATTAAAGAGATATACCTAGAGATAAACCATGAAAGAGACAAGGTAGTGGCGAGGTGGAGGGATTCCGGGATGGTTCCAAAGGATGGGGGCAGAAAAGCTGAAGATCCGACTACCAATGGTAGAGAGGGCAGGCCTGGGAACATGAAGCAGATCAGTGTCGCCGAGTGGAGGGAGTGGACAGGTTGATATTGTGTTAATAGGTTGCAGAGGTAGGGAGGATGTTTCCCTCTATGTTCTGCAAATTCAACAAAGACTGGGATTGAAACCTGATACATATGGCTTGGTTTCATAGTTTCATATTGGTCTTTAAACAACTGAGCCATTGAGGAAGAATACAGAATTGTACAAGGTTGTTGCAAGATCAGAAACAGTAACAAGTTTGCACATGCAAACAAGTCTGACAATTCTACAATTCAATATACTCAAAGGAAAAAGTTTGGACAAGACCAACACCATTTAATAGTCAATAAATTATAACAATTAAAATACATGCCCTAAAGCCTCTACTTCTTAATGCACATGGGTTCATATAGCACACCACAGGCATATATCATACGTAGTCTGCGTGTGACCTACACATTTTTACTCAAACTTGGGTGAGATGCACAGTCTTTGTGGTTGGAGTTGATTGACTCCTTCCATTTAACAAGTATTATCTAGATACAGTGAATATAGGTAATATCAGGATATCATGCTAGTATGAAATGTTTTGCAATGTTTTAAAAAAAAATGAAATGCTAGTCCTGTCTTGACTTCCTACTTACCCATGAGGCTTATAGAGGTCCACTAACTGAAACAAAATCTCTACTTCCATAGGAGACACTTGACCAAACCTCTGGGAAGCAACCATAAATACCTCTGAAAAAAACGAACAATAATCAAATCAGGTCAATGTAGTGCATTAAAACACAAGTGTAGACTAGTCCTTAAAGGCTTACGTATCTGGCTGCAAGACAACAGAAAACTGGAGGAGCCGCCTGTGAGATGACTCTCTTTCTGTTCTTCTACAAACACCGTGCACAAAACAAACATGCCATTGCCTGAGGGTAAGGACAGAGAGGGTTTGGTGCCTTGATGTCTTCACACATGCTATGTGATGACTTCATCTGTCACTGTATGCACTTTACGTGCTGAAACTGCACTGGACAATAGCAAAGTAAAACATAGGAAAGTCAGACAAAAATATCCAATTCTGAGATACCTTCACTCCAGTGGCACCATCCAGCCTCCAGCACCTTTTTTTGTCATTGTTCTGCTTCCAGTGACAACCAGCGATGGCACTGTGTAACAATGCCACACTCAGTGGTGATCAGTGACCCACAATAGGGCGTAATGTGTCGGCATTTTGTTTCCAACAGCGCAGTGGCATTTTTCTAAACTGAACCCAACATAAGTGTGTTCTACTACTAGACATAAGGTACTAATCAGATATGGGTCAGTGCAATGAGGGGGGATGGAAAAAAAAGGATGTGGAAATTTGCACGCATCAGTCCCAGTAGGTCTCACTAATGAAGCCTTTTGCTGCAGTGGGAACAGGCAGTAAAAGTGGTCAGATAAGGCTGATAAGATCTCAGTCCAAGCATGTAGGGTAGCTTACTGTACTGCCAGCATGAGTTATAGAATTCTCAAAACTGTACTGGAAGGCTGTTTTTATACGGTGCCAATTTGGCCATTAGCCTAATGCGTTAGAACCTTTAAAATCCCCATGTATCTGACTCTAGCTTCGCTGAACCTGATGTTCACTGAAATAAAAATCAAAAACAACAAAGGCTGGATTAAAGAGCTGCAGCACAGTAGTCAAAGGATGTGTCACAGACTGAGCTGGGAGACCAGTCACTGATCTTTTTAAAAAAAGCATATGCAATGATTTTTTTTTAACCTTGGGAAATATCCAGAAGGCACAATCAGAATTGCTTCTAACCTTTACTAACTTGCATATTTTTTCTGGAGCCAGCCAGAGTACTGTAGATCCTCGTAATGAGCTCCATGTTGTTAAGGAGAGAGTTAAAACCATTAAAGTAGGAGAAGCTGACCTCACGAGATGTAGTACCTCCCGCTGCCTATAAGTAAGGAAGCAAAACAAAAACACTACATTCTACTCACATAACGCTATCAATGCTTTTTGAGTTGGAAATGATTCAAAATAAATTCTTTAAAATTATATACCAAGTTACAAGTTACTTGCATTAAAATGAACTGTAACAGTTAAGAGGCAAGTTGTTCGCAACCCAAAAAAAATTTCTGCAAACAACATCAGAACTAATCATAAGCAGAACACAAACCATAATTTCTTGGAAACCTAAGCAAATACACATGTAGGCATAAAACAACTTGAGCAGCGGTAATTTTTTTAAGAGCACACAATCTTAAATTATTGCATTTCAAAACTATTCGGAACTCACATACCTCTAATAAACTAGGGAATGGTAAAATAATATAAAACATCAAAATATTGATACAACCCACCCCCTTCCCTGTACACACCCCGGTTAAGGAAATTGGGGGAGGGAGAGGAGGAATTTTCATCCTATGCAATTATTTTTAACAAAATTAAAAACTGATCCACATAACTACTATTAATGTCACAGCATCATACTGAACATCTATCTCTATTTGCTGACAAGATCATTTTGTAGAGTTTAATATGATTTCAGCTGCATCATTTCAGCATACCACAGTTTCCAAGTGTTAAACAAACTTATGCAACTTACAGCTGTCAAGCTTTCCTGCACAAATGGAGACAACATATGTGGGCGAATGGTAATCATAATATCCCTGAAATCCATGTTTGTAATTGTGCCACGTTTTGCCTCATCTCTCTGCATAAAAGCTTGCTTTGCATGTTCCATCTGCAAGTCCTGAAATTCACAAGGTAAATTCACATAATCAGTTTCGAAGATAATAGCAGGGTGTAGTCAGAGTCAACTGCAGAAAGAACAGATATCTTACAGAACTATTGTACCTTGGATGTTGATGGCAGGACAGCAAGCTTTTGAGAAATTGGAATAGAGATAGGAATTGGAATAAGGTACCAATAATCAACCAAAATGTTCTGCCACCTAAAATATTCTCCAGCCTCAGAAAGTGCTGTTTGATTATGCTTTGCATTTAAAATTCTGTTAACAAGTGCAAAGCTCTGAGTAAAGTCATTGTATGGGCATTATAAACTGGCCTCAACATTGAAGTTTAACTTAAGAACCAATAATGGAACTTCAATCATAAGCTTATGGAGGTCTGTCAGAAGGAGACTGGCATTTCGCAAGCTGTCATCATCAAGCCAACAGGCCTGCCTGGCTTTGGGGCTGCCACAAATCCAAGAACAAAACTTGGAATTTGTAGTTGGCAAAGCTATAATAATCAATCATTGGACAGATACAGTTAGCAAATTATGAAATCAGAGGTGGTGAGTGTCCTTGTGTTTTATTGAAGAGGCCCACTCTTCCACCAGCATTTCCAAGCATCTTCACCCTTCCTTGTCTCACAATAGATGAGCTTTGAATATGAATCCAAGCAGATAAATGTTATAATGTCACCATCCTTCTAACGTAGTTGCAGTGAGACATCACAGTTCATCTCAGTTATCGTCTCAGGACTGAAGACTACACATACTGTACTTCATCTGGTCACCTGTCTAGATCATGATGAGAAGATATGGAAAGACTTTAAATGAGCATTGTGTGTCATCCTGGCTCAGTGATAGCACTTCTGCCTCTAGGTCAGAAGGTTGTGGGTTCAAGCCCTCATGTCAGGACTGGAACATTTAGTCTAGGCTGACATTGCAATGGATTGCTGGGAATGTGTTGCATTGCTGAAGTATTGTCCTTTGGATGAATGTTAAACTGAGGCCCGGTCTGTTCAGGTGGACATTAAAAATCACATGGCACTTTTCGAAAAGAGAAGGGAGTTTCTCCTAATATCCTGGCCGACTATCGGTAATTGTTTCATGGCTGTTTGTGGAACATTGCTGTGGGCAATTGGGCTGCTGGGTTTATCTACAAATACACAGTCACTCCATTTCACAATAAATTCTGTGAAGTGCTTTGAGACATCCTCTTAATGTGAAAGGTATTATACCAAATGCAAAGATTATTATTAGTTAACCACTTGGTACCATTAGCTAACAGTTGATACCCACTTTAGACAACATCCACGATGAAGGCAACAAAATGTTTAATAAGGATGATTTTCAAATGCCCCTCCACCCGTGAAGGATTTACATTGTTCATGCAAATATTACAGGGAGACTGACAGAAACTTACAACAAAAAAATTTAAAAATTTGCCAACTATAAAATCTTTTAATTTTGTATTCCTAGGAAAACAAAGACAAAATAATCATGCTACAGTTTAAATTGCTTTTCTTTTGAAGTTATTGATCAGTAAACGGTAGATCAACACCTTGAGACGTCATCCTGACATGAAAGGCGCTATACAAATGTAATTTGTTGTTGTTGTAGATGCAGCATAACAATAAGCTAGTTCGGTAGTTAATACAAAATATTCGCCTTACTCCCCATTCCTCAAAATTCTCAGCATTCAGCAAAGCAGCATCAATGTCATTTGGTACACTTTAATTAGGAAGAAAAGCATGAAACAAAGACTCTATAAACCAGTCATTGGCCCATAGGAAAAGCATGTCATAGTATATGGATACGTTATAGAAACGGTGCTTTATATGGTTTCTCTGTTAATCAGGGAGTCGTAAACAATTCACATTATATTACACTGTGTTGAAATAACGGGCTGTGGGTATATAAAAACAAAAAGAAAAGGAAAAAAAACGACAACTCCAGCACATTCTCGATCACAAGCTAGGGTTAGAGAACCCATTTTTTCTTAATGCTGTTCTTGGCTATTCAGGAACTCTACATCATTTTAAATTCAGCCATACAAGGCGTTTCCAAGTTCAGTCCCAGTTGACTTAAATCACGGCTTGAAAAGACGTCACTCTAAAGTGTGTCTGTGCACAACAGGATTGCTCTGAAGCTGACATGCAGTAAGCATGAGAATAGAGATTGCGTAATAATGTACAGAAGTGCGATATTAGTTAAAAAGTTTAAACACTGGACTTTCATCTGCAGAATGTTGGCTATATATTGACGGACAACGTCCTGGTGCCAGCACCTGGTGGTGCTGCAGTCATTCATGCATTTATATGAGCTACAGGAATGGGCTCACTGTGATTCTGCTATTTTAAACTCTTGTACTAGTCTTGGGGGATTTCATTGGTTCTGCTCCAGTGAAATTATAGGCACTCAACATGCAGACATATAATCCACTTCAGCTCATAGTTCTGGGAGGGTATTTATTTTTACATTTCATAATCACTAATTTGATTTGAAACACAAAGACACCCCTTCCTATTCTGGAGATTTTAATGAGCGTTAACTGTCAGAGTCCAGTTTAAAGAGATAGACAAATATGTGCATGTGGTCACTACTATACAATAAGAACAAAATTACATTTATAGAGTGCCTTTCACATCACGAGGACATCCCAAAGCACTGGCTATAACAGAGCAACCAAAAGATCAGAAGCTAAACCTTTTGTACACCCAGGATTCTAAGCATACAATATGTGAATATGTGAATATCAGCGCCTTGGGACGTCCTCCCGACGTGAAAGGTGCTTTACAAATGTAATTTTGTTGTTGTGAATCAGTTCTGATGAAGGGTCGTGGACCCTGAAACGTTGACTCGCTTTCCTTTCTCCATAGATGCTGCCTGACCTGCTGAGCGTTCCCAGCAAATTCTGAGCTTGTTAGTACCTATTGATTATTATAATACTACTTTAATTGCATATAGCACCTTTCACATCAGGAGGGTGTTTCAAAGTGCTTCACAGGATTTACCATAAAATTGATTTATTGTGCATTTTAGCCAAATGTGACAGTAAATTTGCACACAGTGTCCCCCAAAGAGTCATGAAGTGTATGATCAATTTTATCTGGGGAACTGTTGGTCAGCACACTGGAAGTAACTCCCTTTTTTTGCACACCTAAACAGAAAGACAGGACCGTGGTTTAACGTCTCATTCAAAGGACAGCACCTCCAACAAGGCAGCCCTCATTGTCAGTCTAGACTATATGAGTTCAAATTGAATTGTGAACCCACAACCTTCTGACTCAGATGCAACCAACTGAGCTAGGCTGACGGCATCTTGAACAAAACTGTAAATGAAAAAATGAATTTTAATGATGATCTTGCATACATTTTAATGCCCAGGCATATTTGGTGGCACTGAAGCAATCTGACTTCCAGCAGTAACATAATTAAGTCTGATTTATACTTCTCGCTTCTAGTATCATTGGCTAGGGCTGAGGAGAGCTCCAATAACCAGCGATAGTTTTATAATGTCATTAAACAATTGGCCTTACATTCGTCTCTCTAATAACATTAAAACAGTCCCTCAAAAAGTCTGCTTTGAGTCCATTCTGAGCACAGCCTCAATCGATTCACATTGTCTGGATTGGAAAGAAATGTTATTTTCCCAGATGGAAATCATTTTGGTGGGATGTTTCACTGATGAGTGTTCTCCCTGATGAATGTAACTTCATGGTCAAACCTGCTGCAGATTCCTCCCAATATCTCTTCTAAGAGGACAAATGTCAGTGGGAACAGAAAAGTCTGGGATAAGAAATGAACGGTTATGTGATCTTCATTTCAGCTCGAGTTATTTTACTGTAATGTTGCAATCTTCATTTCATGCATACTTGACGCTGTTGACAGAATTTGCACAATAAACGTTATTCAGGGATACACAACTAACATTAAGAAACCAATGACTAGAAAATGCCCTTCGACCCTTGTCCTCAGGTAATTTGGATCTTTAATCCAGAACCAAACCTACGCGAGTTACAGAAACAGGAACTCATAGTGAAGAAATAAGGCTTTGTTTAAAATAAGCTCTAAATACACAAAATTTGTGCTGTAGATAATACTTCCCACCCAGTAAGGTAGGAAATTCAGCATTAACCTCTGTGACCTGCTTCAACCCTACTAACACAGCCACTTCCTTTGCTCAGTGAACACTGGCCTTCTCATGTCTCTCCGTCCTATCTGCCTAAGCATTGGTGGCTGGGCTTTGAGCTATTCTGTACCCACTCTCTGAAATTCCGACTTGTTCCCTCTTTCAAAGCACATCTCAAACATACCTCTCTGACCACGCTTTTGATCTTCTTTCCCCTGCACACCCTCCTCGGCTGTGAAGCTCTTTGCGACGTCCTCCCAACATGACAGGTACTATATAAATGTAAACTGTACTGTATAACTACTGATATTGATGATGAGAGCATAACTGAAGTTGGCTGTCAGTGCTCAAAAATCCCTGAGACACAAATTCCACTCAATTTTTTTTCAGATTGCTGGATGACCTTCCCCACAGAATATACCAAATTAACACTTATTAAAAAGGGAAGTATCCAATAAGAAAAGTTTTTTTAAATTAGAGGTGATTTATATAATCTTGAAGGAAAATGCTTTACTCGGCTGCATTCGGCAAAAAGGCAAAATGTTTGGCGTAACAGAGTGTATTCAGATCACAGATATTACTATACATAAGACATATACCATAGATACTTTGTAGGCTATTGTTTGGTTTGTACAATGAAAGCAACACATTTTACTGATAACATTCTTGTCCTGCCTTTAAATTGCAATAGTAAAATAATTCATTACTTGCGTATCTGTTTGCAGCCACAAAACAAAATAATGCTAAGCAAGTTGTTTCCTCTGATTCTTTGTATTTTTACTGCCTCATTATTGTGCACAACCACTTACTGAGGCCTTGAAAGTTGCCCACAAGTTGCATGAAAAAAACATTTTTGTTCAAGGTACTAGATGAATGCTCATTACTAATAC